TTTTAAATTATATTTAATAACTACTAGATAAGTTTCTAATCTGTTTCAGATTAGTTCATTTTTAGTTGAAATCTATATTACATACTTTATTTTACATGAACATAGCAATAAATTGAACATTTCTAATTCTTCCAAAAAACTAAGACTTTCCAAAAAGAGACACAATCACAGTTTACTAAAGTTGACTTGTAAATAGTTCATTCATTATCTTATAATAACTAACAATATTAGAAACTTATAAAATCTTATCTTAGCTTAATTCCTTACCTTGTGACACAACTAACAATAGTAGTAACTGACAGAATCTGATCTTAGTTTAACTCATTATTTTGTGGATATTTTTATAAAAGAGAAGCTTGAATGTAAATAAGAATAGGTCTTAAGAGCATTTAATGATTCATAAAAAGGTGTCCAAAAATGATGGCAGGTACAATGAACTGCCAACATCTCAAGAATATGATATGGAGAGACCATTTCTCTTGAGTACAAACAGTGTGAATAATGAAGGTGTCCATAACTGTACCGCATCCAGCTAGAGGAATCTATGAACATATGTATGTGTGGGTGAGGCAGAAGACAAGGAACACCCAGGGTCATGGGGTTACGAGAAGTAAAAAGATGGAGCAAAAGGAATGAAAGAAGCAAGTGATTACAAGGCATATTCCACTAATCTTCCAGAGTCCATTCAAGAAGATGCTAGAAAGCTTTGGATAGCACAAGCTTACTCTTAAGGATGTAAAGGATAAGGCTTAGTCCTCGACAAAAAGGAATTGATAAAGACCCCCCTAGTAAATTAGATACCGAGTGGGAATCAGTAGTGGCTTAGCATGCCTAGCCAACCAACCCAAAATAGGAAAAGAAAGATTGCAGTAGAGGATTCCATCCAGTAGAGAAATATAGCCAAATGTTCATAAAGCTGGGTAAATGCAAACCCAACAAGTGCATCCTACATGCAAAAGCACTCAGGACTTAGATGAAAACAGATGGGGCTTGAGCCCTGAAAACAGAGAAAGCCTAGAGAAGAAAAAACTGTGACAATGATTTTCTGCAAATTGAATCCACAGCTGTGCAAATTGTAAGAACCAAGCTCCCACAGGACTGTAGCTGAGATGTTGTCAAGAAACAAGTTATCTATGAGCACTGTGATGGCTGGTCTGTTGATAAAGATGGGGTGAGGACATTAGAAAGCAGCCACAGGATGATGTACAGGAGAGGATAAGGAACTCATAAAAAAAAAAAGTCATAAAGAAAAGGCACCAAAAACAAAGTTCACCGAGATAAGACTGATAGATGTGCAAGCAAATTCCAGAAATAATAAAAAAATCAATTTAACTGGCCAATTATTGAAGAAGAAATTGAGGCAGTATGGAGAACAGGTAGATGTGACCATCTCCAATAAATCTGTAGAGTTGTGATGAAGAGCCTCAATAACAAGAACTAAAGTGGACAGATACATAAGAAGATGAGCAAGCTAAATACAAGTAGATTGAAGGCAGAAAAGAGTCAATGTAAGAAAAAAGATTATCTTCAAGCTGAAAGAAGAGATTCATTGGATTGGAACACTATGAAAGAGGAAGGAATCCAATGACAGGCCACAAAAAGGTCTCAAAGTCAGGGAAGATATGGAAACTGAGAGTTAACATGAAGCTGAGACAGAAAAGAATCATCACTACAGTGAAAATCAGACAAGGAGAAAAGAGCGTGGGAAAATTCTAATATTTAAGAGTATACAAGAAAATTGTGTTTAAATGAGCAGAAACAACTGGGACATGAGAAAAAATGTCACACCTGAATTATCAGAGTAGCACAGGATAATGGTAGGGTTAACTTATCTTTGTCAAGAATAGTAAAAATCAGAAGCACAGGTACACTGTGCTAGCCGAATTCTTCAAAAAACAAGGCCAGGTCATCAGAAGCTACAGAATCAAGAAGGCATGATCTTGGGCTACGAGACCAAAAAAAGAGCAGGATAGAGCCAACCACTTGATGTACAATGGTGATAACATTGCTCACTAGCAAGAGTACCCCCAGTTTCCATTGAAATAGAATAAGACAACTACAGAAAAGTGTCTGAACCTATGTAGGCTTCAGAAACATTAGTACAAGAATTATTATTCAATAAGATCCATGATAATGAATTAATTAAAAGTATTATCATTAGTATTTCTTTCTTTATGTCTTTTCTTTCTGTTTTTTTCTCCTCCCCAATTTCTTTTTGATAAAACCAAGACTGATTATTGGCTTCTGCTAAAACCCTACCTGGTGGTTAATGGGAGATAATCCTCTCAAAGAAACCATATCACAATCTATTAAACACTTCACCCACAGTTTGTGGTCTGGTTACATAGAGATATCAAAGTAATATAAAAAAGATAATTCTTTTCAAAAGCTTTAAATTAATATTGAATTAAATTTAAAAGTTAAGCACAATGCAACAGGTCCTTTGTTTAACGAAATGCATAACAGTTCAAGGGGAGTAATACTCAAAGAGAATGAGTTACCCTCTTATTGTTGGAGAGGTATGGGTTAATAGTAACTGACAGAATTTATCATAGTTTAACTCATTACCCTATGTGATGTAACTAACAACAAAAATAACTGAAAGAATTTATCATAGTTTAACTCATTACCCCATGTGTAACTAACAACAATAATAACTGAAAGAATTTATCATAGTTTAACTCATTACCCCATGTGATGTAACTAACAACAAAAATAACTGATAGAATTGATCATAGTTTCACTCATTACACCATGTGATGTAACTAACAATAATAATAACTGAAAGAATTTATCATAGTTTAACTCATTACCCCATGTGAAACTATGATCAATTCTATCAGTTATTTTTGTTGTTAGTTACATCACATGGGGTAATGAGTTAAACTATGATAAATTCTTTCAGTTATTATTGTTGTTAGTTACACATGGGGTAATGAGTTAAACTATGATAAATTCTTTCAGTTATTATTGTT